ATATAGGTCTTGCTAGAGTGCATGGAAGAGTTATTTGGGTCGTCCGAACAACACATGGGGGCTGGCATGACGCTGCATCGTTTTAAGCTGGAAGCCATGGACCAGTACCTGGAAACTCAACGAAATCACCCGAAAAACCCAATAAGTCCCACTCCTGGGCAACTTCCGCCCCACGCCACGGCGGCCAAAGAGCGAAAGTTTCAAATCCTATGCGATCAAGTTGAAGAGTACACGTGGACAACGCAGAGCCATATGCTTACGTATGGTGGTGCGGTTCTATATATATATATATATATATTATTGATATTTTGTTTTGATTTTAGGCATGAACTCGACCGACTCGTTGATACATTTGCGAAAGATCCTGCTGCTGCTCTGTCGTGTGTCGTTCTTCGAGTTGGTTCCCCTTCCGTTTAAAGTTGGTGATATATGTATATATATATAATATTATATAATAATCCATGAGGTTTGAGTGGATATATTTATATATATAAATATATATGAGTTGAAATGTGAATTCAATCCATGAAGAATGTGATGGGGGGTTTTTTTACATGCTGCTTTGGAGGTATAGTTTAGTGTGTGGATATATAAATATATTAGTAGACATGTAAATTTGGTGTGTTTAATATATATATATATGCAACAGGCCGAGATGGCCAAAGCAACCACGTTACATCGCGTCCAACAAGGCCACGTCATCGCGTCCAAAAACGAGCTGGCTCTGCACATGTACATGGTACTCCACGGTCGCGTCGACGTGACAACCGACCACACGATTCAAAAGTATGATTATAAATATATATATATATATATATATTTATACTACAACGCTCATTTGGAGGATCTATGTATGTCACGACCTTTGGAGTCGTATGTGAACATATTTTTGTCCCCGACACAATGAATGAAGTGATGTGCGTTTCGAACTTATACATGTACTGGTTTGACAATACATATATCTATATATGTACGAAGTGAAGTTATATATTGTTACTCCGTATATATATATATACCGTATATGCACAGCGCCAAAACTAGTATATACATTATGTAAATATATACATATATCGTATACTCGGGTATCGTCGAACAAATAGGACGTACGTCGTTCATCGTATCTGTATTATTGTCAAATATGATTATTTGGGGTCGATTGTATAGTACGACGTCGATACCCCGTCCATCACAACTACTGTACTCTACTATATATATATATATATATATATATATATCCTTTTGTAAGTTCGTCTTACTTGTGAATACATACAAATAAAGTCGTGTTCTTGGTGGGGTCACACACACCCTATGGAAACTATTGACTCCCCATGTATATATTATATATATGTATATAAGTCGGCCATGTGGTCTACCTACTACATTATGTCTACCTACTACCAACAAACAGTACATATATGTATGTACTTATGTTATAAATAGTTCGTCTTACTTGTGAATACATACAAATAAAGTCGTGTTCTTGGTGGGGTCACACACACACACACACCCTATGAAAACTAACTATTTTCACTCTTCCATGGTATATATATATATATAATATATATACCCCACGTAGAGATGGCGCGATCGAGTGGATCGTAGGAGGTGATGTAGACGTGGTGCTGCTTCGTCCTGGCGGCGTCGACGTGGTCGCCGCGTCATCCGATGTGTCGGTGGCGTTCTTATCCAAGTACAATATCGAGTGCATCTTGCGCCAGTCGTTTCACCCTACATCATCATCCGTTGTACTCAACAAGCCCTTTTCCCATCATCAACAACTCCGTCTGGCCGTCAAACCAGTGCCCAAGCTCACGACGTCCGGACCCCATCGCCCTCGGTCTATTGCCCATATGGTCAACATGGTTGCCAAGACTACACTGCCAAGAAACCAGCGAGATCGCATCAAGCACACACGGATCATACAGTCTAAACTGTTTACGGAGGCATATATGAGCCACGACAAGACGACCAACAAAGCAACCACGAGTCGAAACGATAGTATTACTAGTAGTACTAGTCTACTGGCGGCGGCTGCGACAGAGGTGCGATGTTTTCGTGTTTGCGAGATACAGGGTGGACGTGTGTTTATGTTTGATTATTATATTTATATTAATATATATTTTTATTTTTGTTTTGACCATGCCGAGTAGGATGCAAATGCAATGTCGTCGTTTCAATCGTCCACCATGATGGACATGGATGAAACCCGCGAAGACAACGAACTGCAGATGGATACGACTAGTACTACTAGTAGTACCCACCTCCCCCATTGCAACAGCAGCAGCACTAGTACTAGTACCCGGGCGACCAGTGTACTACTACCGTCCAAGCCAACCACGTCGTCGCCAGCGTTCGAGTTCTTTCCGACGTTTGCCGACCGCTTCGACCCAGCCCAGTTGGACGTGCTCTTTCTCGTATGTGTTATGGCTTTTTTTACTGTTTAGTACTATTAATAGTACTACGTATTACTACAGTAGTAATACTAGTAGTAGCTTGATGGTTTTTTATGCGATCATGGCAGTGGTGTACATGATTGTACGGCTGTACGTACGTGTAGGTAGATGAGGTTTGGGTGCTGTGGGAATATATATATATATATATGATTAGAAAGGAGCAAAACAACAAATGATTATTTTAGGAACCGTATATATATATGTAATTAGAAAATGAACAAAAGACCAAATGAATGTTCATGAAAACTGTATTTGTACGTATGAACTGTCGATTCTATAGTTGAATCAGTCTTATATATATATATATATTCAAATAGAAGCGTCTTTGTATATTAATTGGCCTCGTATTTTGTCGTCTTTTTCCTTACATTAATAGCGTCAATATATATATATATCAGCCTCGTACTGTACATGCCTTTTTATTTTCATATAGTATTAGCGACTACTAGAGTATCTCTCACTGTCGTCTTTTGTGATATATATATTTATATCTATTCAGAACCTATATATATATATATATATATCGCCTCGTACTTCAGTATTCGTCGTTTATATACACGATCCATCGAAGCGCGGGTATTCTCCGCATTGTGATCCCACACCGTGTCTTGTGGTTTTACGTTTGAAATAAAACGTAAAACGGGGTCATCTGGACATTCGTATATCGAAAGAGCCACAATATATATATATATATATATATCCTTGATACAAAACTTGAATTATTATATCTTTGAGAGATCCAACGATATGTATCATTGTAGCCGTCGGTGCCGTTCCCGATGGACGAAATGAGACTCACTGACATTGGCCCGCCGTGTCCGGATGCGCCGAGCTTTGTCATGCCGCCACGTGTGGCCATCGACACGGCGGTGCTGCTAGTGGACCAGCTCCAGCTGCTGTGCAAAACCAGTCACCAAAAAGCACCGCCAGACAAGCGGCGGCAGTCGTGTGTCGACACCCAGTCATCGTCTACCGCCATGATGCCCCTTGTGTTTCACGGGCACTTCGACGCCGCCAGCGAGTCGAATTTGGAGCCATTGGCAGAGCTAACGTTGTCGCAGTTTGTGGACGGACGCAAGACGGTCACGGCGGCCGCGGTCAAAGGCCAAAAGATGCCATTTGCATCCGTGTCGCTGTATTGTGCCGACTGGAACCAGCCGCCACCGCCGCCACCGCCGCCGCCGACATGCGACGACAACGTGGTTGAAAGCGATGTGGTGGTGGCTGTTGCGGTACGATTGTCACACGTGGCTATATATATATATACTCTGGGGTTGGTCGTTTTACATGTGACGTGGTGGTCAATGATGATATTACGTAGGAGGACAACAACGAAGACGATGTGTGGCTACAAACAGTCGGCACCCATCACGATAAGGACAATCATCCTACGTCGATCAAAGAGGTTTCTACACAGCTTGAAGCGTCGGGGGAACTCTGTCACACATTTATCACCAGTCCTGGCGGCACCAGTACAACCACAAGAAAGCTGTCGGGTCGCCGGCGGTCATCTCAGCGCACACAAAGTCGTCGAGGCAGTGGGTACACTTCCCAAGCCATGAACAACAATAAGGAGGATGCCACAGATGAGGTCGGGGACTCGGTACCCCGTCAAGATGGTGGTTCCATATCAGTAGTTGTGGGGGAAGAAGAAGAACGAGTGGATGGGATGCAGCAGCAGCAGCAGCGCCGCTCGGATGCGGATGGTTCGATCGACTTGGACACGAAACACGTGTTCAAAGTCGAGTCGTCGACCAATATGAATCACCTGCCAGCGCCGCCGAGGCAGCGACTGCAGCAGCGACTGCCATCCAACGACCCTTTGTCGCGCCGCAATGTGTACCGTAAACTGGTTCAACAAGTGTCCACCGTAACCAAAACAACATTGGATGACATGTTGTCAAAGCCAACGATGCACCTCGAGCAGTTGGAAATCGAGCAAAAACTCAGAGACCAAGTCGGCAAAGCCATGCTCCAAGATGGAAACCCGTGCCCGTGGCGCATTCAACTGCAGCAGCGCATGGAAGCTGTCCTCACGTCGCTTCAGCTCTCAGCTCAAAAGAAGCTCGAAATTGTCATCAAGTACACTTCTGTGAAACATTCGCCCCATCTTGAAGCTGCGTTGGATCTGTGGGAAAAGGTATCGTGTGTGTATGTATATTGATATATATATATAATGTAAAGATTGCATCGAATGGGGGGTACAGTGTATTGTTTGAATATATATATATTGATGTTTTCACGGCCAGGTGGGACCTGTTTGATGTTTTTGTTTCGTTGTGGTTGGTTGTCCACGTAATATTATTCTAATTTGATGTGTACAATGTATATGTTTTGGTTTTGTTTACTACTGTAGCCAAAAGAAAAGGTTGATATTAATATTGTGAAATTGATATAATCATTGTAAAGTTGGGTATGTATACCGTAGAATGCGATCCTCCATATACAAACTGTATATGTGCTCGTTGGGGTTGTCGTGGATTATTGGTAGTTGCTCAACACTGATTGTTCATCGAAAGGGCAACTATTTCCGCTACTAGTATATTTTTATACAAAAATACAATTATATATATATATTGCTTCAATTTGTTTTTATTGTACATAATACCATACTAGGCCGCCAACTGCATCATGGACCGAGAAGCGACGCTGCAACGCGTGTACGAGTTTGAGCTCGTGGCAAGTGACCCACGGCGACTATTCCAAACCATCTCAACATTGCGTCTCAAAGTAATACATTTACTATTCTCAATATATATATATATTGATTTGGGTGTGTATATGGAATAATACACACAGGAACAACGGCAACGCGATCGATTGTTTTTACTCCTGCACAACCACACGGACTTTTGCACCAAAGTGCTGGACGATTTATTTCGCCAGTTTGGGGACGTAGTGTTATTCCAAGACAGATCGTACTCGGATAAAATGCACCACGATTACACCGAAGTACTGTACGACCTCGAGCAAGTGCGGCTCCGCATGTACTTTGGCGGCATCTCGGTCCCTACTCAAAGCCAGGATCGACCTTCCATGCATAATATTGCTGCTACCATCGACCCCGTGAATAGCCATGACAGATCGACACCGCCCGTCGTTATTATCATGCCAAGTAAAACTGGGAGCATGGCGGGGGGTGTTGGAGCGACCAGTGTTCCTTCGTGTCGTGGTGAGAAAGATCATCAGTCTGACGACAAGGACGACGGGCACAGAGGACACCTTGTGGACATTGTCAAGGCGAGAGGGGAAGCCACGTTAGCGGCGCTCAAAGCGGACCTTCGACGCCAGCATTTGCAAGACTTGGCCGCCAAAGCGCAAGCCAAGCTCGAGGTAGAGAAGTGCTCACCATCACTGTTTATGTGTGTTGAAGAGGGGCCAAAATGCTGATAATTCAAATTGGTGGAACAGGCGACGCAAGAAAAAATCAATCGCCGACGACAGCCGACGCGACCCCCGCAGCCCAAACCCGCGCAAAAGGACTCGATCCAAGCCACGATGGCGCACCTGCTTGGAAGACTTGGGCCGACCCAACGTCCAGAAGAACCACCTCTGTCAACAGTGCACGGCGTTGGGCTGTCGTGACCTGTTTTTAGGTTTCGTGGCATATGTACTACTATTAATAGTATATATTACGTTAGCTTGTCGTTGTTGGTTTTGATCTGTTAAAGGGAAAAATTGAAAAAAAGAAGCGCCAGACCGGGTTCGAACCAGTGACCCTCAGAGCTGCAATCTGACGCTCTACCACTGAGCTACTCGCGCTTCATATGCTCCGGAGGTTGAGAATTAGGAACGTTCAAAACCATTGTTTCACAACAACTACCTGAAGGTGGCAAAGTATATATTTATTTGACTTGATGTTTGTATGTACCACCCCGAAGGCGGCAAAGTATATATTTATTTGACTTGATGTTTGTATGCCCCATTGAACAACATTTATTATTACATTCGGTCAAACAATCTGTTTCTGCGGTTGATGGTGTGAATTCGGCGTTTCTTGACAGTAGTATACACAGTAGGTCACCTTGTAGTACAACGTAAATAGTTTGTTATCTTCACGACAGATTTGTGGCTTAACTCGCTGCATGCGGCAGTGGAGAAACTGCTCGAGTTGTATTGTTGAGTGTTTATATTCTAAACAGGAGCGACATGGAGAATAATGAATCGACACAACCAAATGTACAGGAGAATCAGGATTTAGCCAATCAGATTGCAGGGGAAACCATCCTCACTGTCAAATTAGTGTATGATTTCAATTAGTGTGATATCAATCACCACGTGACACTTTTTACATACAAAATTCAGTCCAATGAATCGATCGATAGATTTGGCGATTCAGCACAAAGTAGTCCAAATTTTGGGGAAAAGATACACAATACTACGACCCGACGTTTGCTTTGTATTGGGTCACACGTTAGCCACATGGACCGACTGCACGTGTTTTTGAGTGGTTGATTAATCTAGTACTCCCTCTGTTCCAAAATAAGTGCGCGAGTCTGAGGAGGGGGGACATGACACGTCATTATATTCATAAGTAAATTTGAAAACATGGTGTCACCTGCCTCAAATCGAAATGCGCTGCTATGATTGGATCATGAGTACAAGCGCACCAAGAGCTCCCCGTAGATGCAACAATGAGCGGGAAATCTCAAGAGAT